GCTGCTCTCGGTAAGACTCACATGAAAAGGCCAGAAAGAGCAATTAATGTCAAAAGAAGCTAGGCTTGCAGAAAAAGCAATCCCAATTCTTTGTGTCTCTCTTAGAGTGACTGCAGCTGTCTATCACAACCACCTTTTGCTTTTGGCTACAACCAGATGATGGAGAAATATTCTGTCTGATTTAGCATCTGTATTTTTATCCTGCCAATGATTCGTTAACTATTTTGTTAGAAGTAGCTTCTAGCATGCTTATTGGCGTTCACGCCAGATTCACAGCAGAAAAATCCAAGCTCTTGTCTTCAGTGTGAGCATCTCCAAAGGGTTTTTCAGTGGAAGCACTTCTGGCAGCTGGATTTGCCACTGCAGGGCTGTACCTCAGGCTGTGGTGCCTAGCATGACCCTGGCTGCAGTGATCAGAAGTAGAAATGTGTATTTTTGCTGGGATGAGATTTTTAACTCATCTGCAACAGCAAAGCTTGACTTCAACATAGGTTACACTTGCCATTTCCAAGGCGCCCTGGATAATCTTTCCTTATAGGCCTTATTGTGGTTTTCAGTGCAAAGTGGGGCTTTGTAAAACACTTTCAGGGTTAACAAAATCATGTGTGCTCCCTTCCGCCCAAGCAGTTACCAGATTTTGCCAAGAAAGTGCAGCAAATTTTCTGAGGATTTGGAGTCCTATGAGAGCCTTCATCTCAGTCCAACAAGCAGGCGTATATGCAGCTGAAGTATTGTACTAGCCTCACTGATAGAAGATCTTACTTGTCCTGAATCTTTTTTTTCATGAACAAGGTGGTCATCCACAACCTTGCTGATCTTTCATAACGTACACAGGCGCTGCTGCTGCTGCTGCTGCTGTTTTGTTAAATTAACTGGAAATGACAGAAGGATGGATTGACTAAACTGGGAATCCTAATACTTGTGGAAAGAGTCCCACTTGAATGTTTTTTTTTTTATGCCGAGATGACTGTTTTGGGCGGCTTCTTACTGACTTCTACCGTTGCTGTTCTAGTGACTGTGGGTCTGTGAGGCTCTGTGTTGTCAGTCTGTCCTGTCATTCAAACCACCGGAACAACACTGAGGATTTAACATACGTTAGAGGGAGTAGAAAACAAGAGAGAATTTGGACAAAAAGTTCAAATGGACTGCAAATGAACAGTTTTTTCCCTTGCTGGAATTCACATAGTTTTAGAATTTCGCAGCGGGGATGTCTGAGGGCGTAAGGCATGTTGTGGACAGAGGGCTGATATAAGGCCTATACAAAATTTGTGTTTTTATGAAGCTTTGATTTTCACTTGAGTAAAAGCCTTGTGCTTAGTCCAATGCATCACGACAATTTACTTGTAATTGGTAGCAGTGGCCTCCTCATGTGGCCGTTGGACACTCAGAGCTTCTGCTGATGTTGAGGAATGTGGTTTTCTTCGTGCTTTGAAAGATAAGGCCTGGCTATTATTTAAAAATCCCATCAATGTCACTATCCCTGATCTGCTGGTTAAGAGAGCACTCTCACATTTTAACTGAAAATGCTCCTTAGAAAAGTATCTACGAAAAAGGTTCTGTTTGTTAGTTTAGTTAAGGTGTAATTCCTCATCCTTTTAATGCAACAAGAAGCTTGCTTCTGAACAAAATCTGTAGGCCTGACCTTCCAAGGTGAAGAGTTGAGGCTGTTCAGCATTTCATAATCTCAAGATTTTTTATAATACACTGACAAAATATTAATGTATGCCTTGAATAAAGCAAACCTGCCTATCTCATAGAATTCTAGTCCTGATGAGAATACTGGAAGGGACCTTAGAAATCCTCTGCTTACATATAAGCATAATATTTCCAGTGGGGTCAAGACTACCGGATTTGGCCTACGTGTCTGCTCTGCAATGAACATTGACTCTGGAGGAGTCGTTATAGAGTTTGTATAGTGAAACAGATGAATCATAATAAAGGAGTAATTACGTTAAAGGTGCCTGTTACTAGCTATTTTGAAGGAAATGTTTAGAATTGCTTTCTGTTGGTTTGGGAATGATAGAGAAAAATGAATAATCATTCATAGGCCTCTCAAATGAAATGGCTTCCATTAAGTACAAGATAGCAGCATAGCTTTTCTTGGATACATTTTGGATAGATAGCTGCACATAAAATCATCATATGCTATCAGAGTGGCACCAACATAAAAAATTTGAATTATATGAGCTGTATCTCAGTCAGATTTTGGCTGGGATGAAGGTGAATCCCCAACTCTTCATTCCCTGCTCTTGAAAGCCAAATAAACAGCATAGCCATTCTAAGTAGAAAAACGAATGGTTATATTCCTAGCACCCTTCTGGGTGAACTGCCTTAAGAAATTCCAAGACTTATGACACTAAGAACAGGAACTCCAGTTACCTGACCAAAACCATAAATGTGTATTAGTTTGGAGCCAGCAGCAAACCTGTAACAAATGTAAGCCACCAGAAGGAGACAAAGAGCTACACTGTATGATCATTAAATACCCATAGCTGAACCGCCTTTATACTTTAAGTTGTTATAACCTTCTATAAACACAGTTGTTTGAATCTGAACGTTGATCAGCATGTATTGCATTTCCTTGATCTTGTAATTGAAACACAATATTAGGTTTAGGAAATCTGATTTGGCAGACACTTCCTATGTACCATTTGGTAAGTCAATTCGTCTATTAATCAGTTTCCCTCACTGTATTTTGCAACCTGCAGTGTGTGAATACAGAGGTAAGAGTGAACTAAACAGGTTTAAAGTGTTGTAAGGCTCGTGCCCATACACTTGGGACTCTGGAAGTCCAAACTATTATTTTATTGAGGAGCTTAGGTCTTGCAATTTCTCTGTTACACTTCAGACTGTTTTCCAGTCACATTTCTGAAGTTTATAACCAAAAGCTCTCTCTAAATTCCCTTGCTACCTACAGTGCGTAATTCTGTAGTTGTACTAGTAAAAAAGAGTGAGGTAAAATAATTAGGACTGTATTGTTTAAAAACATGAAATGGTTGTGAAAAGTTCAGTGAAACAGATTATAACAATAAAATACTAGCAGCGGAGAGGGGCATACTTCCCTGCCCCAGTAGCCCTACTGTCCTTATGTACATCCTGCATGCAATCAAAAGGTTCTTAGGGAAACCCTAAATTTGCTGCTTTCATGGTTATTCTGTTCCAAAAAAAGTATTATTTTTTTCAGCATTTTTGTTTGAAACGGAAAACCTGAATCTCTAAATCTCCTAGAGGAAAAAGAGATGACAAAATGTAAACAAGTAACTACTCCATCTGAAGATCTTTACATATGTTTCCAAGTGGGGACAGGGAGAAAGACTTTCGTTTGCAGTTCATACTGATTTAATTAGAATAGACATATTATAGCACTTAGACGTTAACCAGTCTACTAAAAGGAAGCTCATTTATGCCATGTTTTAAATTGCATTGAAGGATCACAGAAATGTACTGCCGCTAGATAAGGCCTAAATGCACCCCAAACTTCTAGTACTGTTCCCCCCATGAATACATTCCTCTGGCCGCTCTCCCCAGCCTTGTCCTCTCCCTCTCCCTGAGCTGTGAGCCGGCTCAGCACATTCCCTTCAGGCAACCAGCCACAACTTAATCAGCCACATACACTTCTGCGTAACTTATAGTTGAGAACAGGCCCCCTGCAGCCACACTGAACAACTCCACTGATCCTGCCTTCATCTGCCTTGGAGGGGGCAGGCTGCAGACTGCAGTGACAATAAGCTTCAGATGAAACTGTGAGCAGAAGGCAGGCCAAAGAGGTCTCTGGCTAGTAGCTCCATGACTTCTGATGCGGATACCGACTTCTATTTTATTATTTATCAGAATGAAAATCTGTAAAATGTAGATTAAATCTTTGGGAGACACAGATGTGTTTGCACAATCTTCTCGTCAAGAAGCTGTCACACTGGTGAAATAATAATCCATTGTATTTTGAACCCTCCTTTATTTGCTGAAATCTTGAGGAGAAACACTGTGGGAACTGGAACCAATAATGACATCAGAAACCCACCCTCACTCAACAGTGAGGTGCAGACGGGCAACCTGAATCCCAAGCAGATGCAAGCTCGAGATTTCTCAGTAAAAACAAGGGATCTTTCACAGAAAGCACCATACAGAAAGCACCAAAGCCTCCAGCTCTCTAAAGCCGGTTTGTACCTTCCTTTCTCTAGGACGAAACTGGAAGTGCCTGGGAACGACACACTCTGTCAGAGCCATGCCTGACGTATTCCTCCTCCATCTAAACTAGCTGGCTGCTCAAGAGTATGCTTTCTGCCCTTCAAGAGTGGGTCAAATTCTTTTTGTTCCAGAGGCAAGAGACTATCATTGTTCTGATTCGTGAGATGAGACGTTTTTGGTACATAACTTGTCTTCTGGCTATATACCGTGACTATACGACGTGCTGGGGTAGGCCTACAAGCAGCACCCTCCCCCCACCCCTCGGCGCCCGGCTGCCCTCACACCCAGCGCCTACAGCGCAGACGTCACCGCCGCGGCCCCGCCCCTTTCCCCACGGGGCACCGCGCATGCGCCTCTTCCACGCACAGCGCCCGGGCTGGGCCGCCTGCCCGGAGGTAAGAGTGGCTCCTCATTCGTCATGATCCCTCGTGCGGGGCGGCCTAGGCGTCCCTTCCCCCCCCCCCCCCGGGGGCCCC